GAGGTGACTACATTCTTATAGCTAGACATAGAGATAAGCTGAAGACATGTGATAAATAGAGTAAGCGATACACACATACGCTGTGAAATAGAAACAGCCAAGGTTATGAGAGAATAGTTGGCAAGGTCGAAATGTGTGGGTACTGACTGGAGAAGAGTAAATTAATTGGTTTGTGCAAAAGCCAGAATAAGCCATGTGGGCAGTTATTTGATCAAGTGCACGTTCGTGCAACACTGTTTGTGTGTACGATTGATGTGAGTTGTACAAATTGTCGGTTGTGTACGACAGTGAAGCTTCGGGAAGATGCGTAGGTGTTGGTGATTGTGTGATAGCAGTTGGTGAGACACACAGCACGCAGTTAGTGAGTGACAGCTTGTCGATGGACCAGCTGAGACGACGTGTGATGCACATGGTGAGTGATAGTTTCGAAAGTGCCCACCGGACAAGGCCTCGCCGAGACTCGAACTCGGGTCGCTGGATTCAAAGTCCAGAGTGCTAACCGCTACACCACGAGGCCACGCCTGCGTCTCTCTGCCCGTACACAACACTGCACATTCACATCATACCCACAAATATACCAACCACAATTACACCGTTCCGTTCCATTGCCACCATCCACAACACAACAACACGCCGACTCCATCTCATCTCCATCTTGTCCGTCACACTCACCACCACATGCATCCACACCTACACACACAAAACTCAACAGAACTCAACCACTCATTCGTGCTGACATCCACACGCGGACGCGTGCAGCAAGCCAACAGTCGAACAAACAACCGAATAACCCACTGACTTTTCGTCCACCTGCTTTCCTCCCTCCCTCCCTTTCTCTCTAACTCTCTCACACACACTCACCCAATCACTCCTCATCCCTTCGCCTACACACACACTCACACATACACAAACGCGCACGTACACACGCACGCACGCTCACACTGACCTATTGACATTGGTGAAGCCTCCGCTGGTGGCATCCAACACACCAGGTTACCCGAGACAACATCGACATCTGATTTGGCACATTGTGTCTAGGTGGTGTGTGGATCGATCATCTCGCAGACATCGTGAGCACTATTCCGTTCAGACGAATCGGCTCGCAAAGCGTGCCAACTGAGGAGTGGCCGTGTGCACTGGTCGGGTGTCAGTCAGTGTGCGTTGACGTGGTCGGAGCAATGCGTTTCGAAGTGCTTCACACGATGCTTGGTGATGCTCTCAAAACACGCCGTGGGGCAAGGCCTCGCCGAGACTCGAACTCGGGTCGCTGGATTCAGAGTCCAGAGTGCTAACCGCTACACCACGAGGCCACAATTGCGCGACCACTGGCATACACCACTTCACACATTCACACCATAACTACCAACAACACTCGGCCACGTCACTAGTGTCCTTCTGCTCACACGAAATTACCCACAGTACACGCCAACAAACGCTCGCACACACACATAACACTTCCATCGAAGGATATTCTCTGAATCACAACTGCTCAATTACGCACGTGCACCGTCACATGCAGGTGTAAACGTGTGGAGTAGGAGGAATCGGTGTGGAAATGTGGTGCTGTTCGTTCGATGAACCGACCGACCAACTGACGAACTGGTGTAGGGTCTCGTTGAACAGAGTGGTGTCAGGCAACTGACGTGTCACAGCACATGTGTGTGTGTGTGTGTGATAGAGCGATACAAGTTGTGTCTGACGTTGAGTGAAACTATACAATCGACTGTGCATAAACATATCTAGGTGCGAAATCCTAGTATGACCGATCTGACTATCCGTCCTATCCAATGCACATGATTGATGCGTTGCGGCATTTGTCTGGCGGTGAGCATTCATTGGTCCGTTATCTGACTTCGATTTGGACGAACGACTAAATACACAATGAAACTACATCCTCCGTTCAATCCCACTTATTACACCTGGACTAACCGCATTTGAGCGACGGTGGTAACGAGGAGCCAAATACAGATTCAGTCAGATGAATTTATTTCATGCACTAGTTTATGCAGACAGGCATTAGGATGAGAAGTGGAAAAGCACAGCTCAGCAGGAAGGCGGAGCGAAGCAGAAAAGCGCAGCGACACGGAGAAGACGAGTGGGTCAACTCAATTTGATAAGAGGTGACTACATTCTTATAGCTAGACATAGAGATAAGCTGAAGACATGTGATAAATAGAGTAAGCGATACACACATACGCTGTGAAATAGAAACAGCCAAGGTTATGAGAGAATAGTTGGCAAGGTCGAAATGTGTGGGTAGTGACTGGAGAAGAGTAAATTAATTGGTTTGTGCAAAAGCCAGAATAAGCCATGTGGGCAGTTATTTGATCAAGTGCACGTTCGTGCAACACTGTTTGTGTGTACGATTGATGTGAGTTGTACAAATTGTCGGTTGTGTACGACAGTGAAGCTTCGGGAAGATGCGTAGGTGTTGGTGATTGTGTGATAGCAGTTGGTGAGACACACAGCACGCAGTTAGTGAGTGACAGCTTGTCGATGGACCAGCTGAGACGACGTGTGATGCACATGGTGAGTGATAGTTTCAAAAGTGCCCACCGGACAAGGCCTCGCCGAGACTCGAACTCGGGTCGCTGGATTCAAAGTCCAGAGTGCTAACCGCTACACCACGAGGCCACGCCTGCGTCTCTCTGCCCGTACACAACACTGCACATTCACATCATACCCACAAATATACCAACCACAATTACACCGTTCCGTTCCATTGCCACCATCCACAACACAACAACACGCCGACTCCATCTCATCTCCATCTTGTCCGTCACACTCACCACCACGTGCATCCACACCTACACACACAAAACTCAACAGAACTCAACCACTCATTCGTGCTGACATCCACACGCGGACGCGTGCAGCAAGCCAACAGTCGAACAAACAACCGAATAACCCACTGAATTTTCGTCCACCTGCCTTCCTCTCTCTCTCACACACACACACTCACCCAATCACTCCTCATCCCTTCGCCTACACACACACTCACACATACACAAACGCGCACGTACACACGCACGCACGCTCACACTGACCTATTGACATTGGTGAAGCCTCCGCTGGTGGCATCCAACACACCAGGTTACCCGAGACAACATCGACATCTGATTTGGCACATTGTGTCTAGGTGGTGTGTGGATCGATCATCTCGCAGACATCGTGAGCACTATTCCGTTCAGACGAATCGGCTCGCAAAGCGTGCCAACTGAGGAGTGGCCGTGTGCACTGGTCGGGTGTCAGTCAGTGTGCGTTGACGTGGTCGGAGCAATGCGTTTCGAAGTGCTTCACACGATGCTTGGTGATGCTCTCAAACACGCCGTGGGGCAAGGCCTCGCCGAGACTCGAACTCGGGTCGCTGGATTCAGAGTCCAGAGTGCTAACCGCTACACCACGAGGCCACAATTGCGCGACCACTGGCATACACCACTTCACACATTCACACCATAACTACCAACAACACTCGGCCACGTCACTAGTGTCCTTCTGCTCACACGAAATTACCCACAGTACACGCCAACAAACGCTCGCACACACACATAACACTTCCATCGAAGGATATTCTCTGAATCACAACTGCTCAATTACGCACGTGCACCGTCACATGCAGGTGTAAACGTGTGGAGTAGGAGGAATCGGTGTGGAAATGTGTGCTGTT